ATGATGGTCTTTCACAAAGACAAGCAGTCAAAACAAAGTTATAGGAACACAGAAAAACACCACTCCAACTGATCACATGACAAAGAAAGACTATGTGTTCTTAATTACAGCAGGCTGTGCTGTGGGCGGCCTTATGCTGTATTGTCTGCTCCTCTGCTTTGTTGAAAATTTAATTTGAAACCTGCATCATCATGGCACTGGCTGCATTTCTGTTCTGTTCGCACGGGCTGCTAAGAGATGCCCTTTGCACAGTAGCACTTTTATGATTTCATCCAGAATCCAGACTATATCCCAGAATAACAAACAAAAAGGTTCAAAGGAATGCCCCAAAATAATCTGTCATCCACGGGGCTGTTAAACATCCCCTGCCTCTACTTAGGAGAAGTCTGTAATTGAAGTGCGGTGTCTGGAAGACAACAATCCTTCTCACTTGGTGTCTGGCTAATCTCAAGAATCAGCTCAGTAGATCTTTCACTCCTTGATCTTAGATTTCATCCCTTCATTTGGGTCATTTTCTTTCTTTCTTTTTTTTGCCACCCCTTTTTGTCTCTTCATATATCATCACGTGTCGTATCTGTGAAGGGCCAAGCTGTTAACCTGAATGTCCATTAGGAAAGTTACAAGTTAGCGAAGGAGGCAGGATACTGGAGAGATTTCAAAGAAATTTCAGAACACCCTTCTAACATCACAATAACAGAAACAAAGGCTGGATTTTACTTTACTATCCTATCAAATTTAAATTAAAAGCTGGTTTGTACACCTTTGGCTTAGATTCATTTCATTACTTAGACACCCTAAAATCTCTTTGCAGCACCGGATTTGAGAATTGGACTGTGTTGAGTCATTTTATTGGTTCAAAGGACAAGAAAGTAAATGACCCCATAGGACTATGATTATTTCTTTCTTCCCTCTTCTCTTCAGCTTTCATGAATGGAAGCCGGCAGTCTTGTCACTCCTTCACCTAAATTAAAAGCTTCCCATGGCTCACAAAGCTCTCATGTCTCTGACACATTTCGCCATACAGTGAACTCTGAACAGTATGATAATGTGTTAAATTTACATAAGGTAAATGCTTGGCCTTAACACAGGCAAGGTTCATCCATTACAGCAGTTATGTTACCTCATAACTAATTTTCCATGAATTGAAAAAAGTGGGCACACTGCTCCCAGAAGTGAGATGGACCAGAAGCATTAGCTTGCAGAATATATCCCAATGAACTAATGATCCTGACACCCAAACAATAGCAGATTTAGAAGAAGGCACACACAGCAGACTCTGTTTTTCTATCTCATATTTTTAATGACAAAATGTTTGTCGGAAACAAATGGATTTATTTTTCTGAATCCAGGGAATAATATGGGGAGCTTATATGGTTCCGGTCCCCTGGGCTTCAGACAACTAACAAAACACATCTTACTTCTGCTCTGCTGCCCGTCCACAATGCTTTTTACATACAGGAGGATGAGCGCGAGCCTCCGTTTAATTGACAAAGTAGCATGGGTCTCATACATATATCCATTACATAGCAATAGACGAAAGCCGACAAAAGTCTGGAAAGGTCATTTGTTAAATATGTAAAGTTATGAATGATTTGAACATTTAATAATAATAAATATAAATTAAACATTGGATTTAATCGTTTATACAATACACAGAATATCTTCTTTTTTTACTAGCTTTGCTCTAGTTTGTCGCCAACTTGCACCGGCAGCTGCTCCTTCTTATACAGTGTACCCACTATTTCTCCAATGCATTCTCAGTCAGGCCCTCTCTTAAATACCCACCCTTTTCACTTGCTGTTTCCGGCTTCACATGCACCTCCTTTCATCAAGCCATCCCATCCATCTCAAAAACACCCTCACAAAAGAACTACACTCTTGTTTGTGTGTCCAAAAACAAAGAGGCACACTGAGTAACTTCCTATTCACATCAGGTGATTTGCATGAGGGATCTCTCCCCATTTAGTGACTCCAAAACGCTTTTGCCAACACAGAGTAGACGAGGAGGCTTGAGGGTGGAGACAGCTATCCTTTCACTCTGCATGCTAAAATCCTCAGTTCGACTCTTCTTATCAGCCACATCGGATTTTGAGAGTAATATCATCCACACTTGGAAACATAATAGAAAACACGGAAAGTAAAAGCCCTAATAATTCCATTTAATAATGTTGAGCTTTAACTGTGTGTAGAACTAAAATATTAGTGGTACAGATTTTACTATTTTTCCCCTCTTCTTTCTGTGTTGTGATCACTGCCCGGTTTGACACAGACAAGAAGCTCCTTTCCATACTGGAGCGAGATAATTGACTTCTGTTCCATGCGTGCCACAATCAAGACAGCAGACCACAGCATATTACGAACATGTGCTGTGTACAAAATAATGTCAAAGTCAGCAGAGTGCTTGATTTATTTATTTTTGATTTTTAATGATTTATGCTTCCTAATGCACTTGCCAGTTACTATATTAAGCGTGGTTGGAATGTTTGAATAACAGACTTTGGCATAAAGTTTGGCTTCAAACCTGGACACACATACACGCACACACACACAATCAACAAATTTAATGTGTGTGTTTTCCTTCGAAGGGAGAAAATTTATGAAAATAATAGCTTTGGATGTTTGTTGGAACAACCGATACGGGCAACTGAACACCAGGCAGGAACACTCTTGTACCAACAGGCAGTGAGCAATAAAGTGAAGAATGTGTGTTTAGGGTTCAGGGGTAAGCTTTCTTTTATATTTCAGAATGCAATTCATCATTGAATCAAAGACGCATCAGATTTTTATGTGTGGAAATGTGTTTGCATCTGAGTCTATTTCTTTTAATGGCTCTAACTGGAGTTATTTTAGGCACTATTTCAGGAACAATGAAAACATGGCAGTGTAAAAATACACGCTAGAAACTTTTTGTTATAATAAGCTATTTAATTGAGTAAATGTGCACAGTTATGAATGTAATTGCTTTGTTTAATCCATCTGAGTTGTGCCTTTGCTGAAATGAAAAAGAAAAGCTAATACTACATTTTAAATGACTAGGCTACATGGTTTTATGTGTAATCATAAATGTGCAAAAGTCATTCTACATCTCAAATCTATTAATTAACATGTAAATGAAGATAAACTGGCCTAGACGCTCTTTCACTGTCACATGATTTTAACATGGTGTTGTAGATTAAATGTACCAAACAAACAAAAAGCAAAAAATGGTTAAAAGAATCTGCTAGGATAGATCGACTTTTTACCTTTCTCATACTGCATGTATTAAAGGAATAATTTGACATTTTAATGTATGTATACTTTATTGATCCCCGTGGGGAAATTCCTCTCTGCATTTAACCCATTCACTCAGTGAAGCAGTGGGCAGCCATTGGGTGCACTGTGTAGGGATGGTACCTTGCTCAGGGGTACCTCAGGGTAGCCGTCCAGTGGATTCGAACCCTTGACCTTCCGATCATGGGGCCACCACTCTACCTACTGAGCTATCCCTGCCAATAACCCCGATTCATTTACTTCACAACAGTTAAATTGTTAGAGAAGACTGGCAGATTCTACTCTCATTATCTATGCGTCAAGTCTGGAGCTAGAGCCGGGAGGTGTAAAAGCTTAGCTTAGCATAAAGATTGAGAGCAGGTCTAAACAGCAACCTTGACATCCTCTAAATTTAAACATGTCATCATCTCTAAAAGCGATCAATTAAAGAAATGCTACTACTTCTGCCAAAACTGAATACAGGTTGTGAAACCAAATATTTATGGTCTTAAAGGGGTTTGGATGTGCTAACACCTTCAGGCGCAATGTAGATTCTCTTTGTACTTTATAGCAACACCTTTCTATCGGTTTCATTTGTGACATTTTACTTAAAAAGTTGGGCATGAGAATGCTGAAACATCTCAAATTTGTCTCAAGTTGAATTTATCTGAAAGAAAAACAAATACTGCCCCATCTTTCTGCTGTAAACATCTGTCATTGAAAAAAATAATAATAATTGAACTTCAACAAACTTCAGCAAGCAGCTTTCTGTGTACTCTGTGAAACAGCATATTATAAGATATACGCTATATGGGCAAACCTCCACATTATAGCTACAGGAGCTGCTCAGCCATGGGAAGCAATGCCATTAAGCTCCCGGTACACTGTTTTTGTGCTGATGTTAATGTTAGAGGAGCTTTGGAGCTCTGCAATTATTGAGTCCACAGAGAGTTTTTTGCTTTTATGCAAAGTACGCGTCCACATTCAGCAATTACGTTGTCTGACACTTTGTGGATGAGTTACTGTGGTTCTTTGAAAAACAAACAAACAAACAGTTTCATCATGAACTGTCGAAGAAGGAAGAAATTTCACTAACTGACTTTTGCAGTGGTGGCATCCCATTACAGTAATACACTTGAATTCATTGAGCTTCACTGAGATGACCCATTCTTTCACAAATGCTTTTAAAGGCAGGCTGAATAACTAGAAATAAGTCTAGGTGCTTGACTTTATGCACATGTAGCAATGGGACTGAAAAGACCTGAATTAAAGATGAAGAAATGTGTCCCAATACTTTTATCCATATAGTATACTTTGGGTGCCCTTACCAATAAAGTACTTTTTTTTTTTTTTTACAATTGCTTATTTCTATTTTCTGCCACCATGTTATCATCTCTCAGCCGTTACCATAGTGAGCACAATGTGATCATGAATCCTCAAGTAAGATCCAAGTTGTAATAAAGTGGAAATATCATTTATTATTGTTACAGAGGAGAGCTTATTTAGCCAGAAGTAAAATGCCCCTATAGCCAAAATGGGAATAAGCAAAAGAAAATCAACAGTTCCAAGTTAGTCTTTGGTTGAATTTGAAAAAATTATCAATAAAAAAAAGAATTAAGATGAACTGCAGGTTAAACTTCAGTTGATATTTTAGCATTGAACCATCAAACTGAGTAAAATGGGAGCCATTTAGTTCTCATAGATTAAAATAGAAAATATAGGTGCAGCACTTAACACATCCACATCCAACACAGTTTTAATGTTCATGTTTAATGAATTTAGGAAGGATCTCTGCAGTGTTTTCATGCTACTGTCTTTGAAATTGCACAACCATTGAAATAGTTGTTACTGCTCAGGGAGCGAAAAAGGACTGCAAACAAGCTAAACTACAACATAGTAGAGCCCAGGTGTCTGAAACATGTGAAACATGCTGTAAAGATCTCTTCTGTTGTCGACACACCAGTAGCTATGACTTTTTTTTCTTTTCTTCTTCCTTTTTTTTAAAGAAAAGATTAGGTTTTGTAGGGGTTTTTTTTTTGGGGGGGGTCATGTTCTAATAGACACACATTTCCAGTCAGTTTCTAAAAAGTATTTTTCTTTACACTTAGTACAAAAAAAAAAGACATGTCTACCCGTTAGTGTTTTGTTTTAAGATACTATAACATAAATAGACAATTTATTTTCAGTGTTCAGAACAGACAGTTCCAGTGTGACTGGAAAACTAACATACTCCACCATATTCCAGTTGGCAGCAGAGGGTTTTAACAGAGTTCTCCACTCAGATATTGGCGCAGCGTGATGCACCACACTTACAAAATGTTCTTCATTTCTACAGACCTCCACCATTAGCCCCAGCCAAGCTAGGGGTATCATTCATGTCAAGATTCACTTGTGCCCCCACCCGTTAGTGAAAAAATGACAAAACCCACAAAGAGTTTCTCGTCAAAGACTTAACAATGGCTGTCACTTCGATCAACTCCCAGGTTACTGTGAGTTCCTCTCCATGCAAGTCTGGTTATATTGCAATCGAACCATTACAAATCCCAGAGTGCAAAGCACAGTTCCCACCGAGGGTCTCATTCTTTACACGTAGTCCCAACTTCACTGCGGATACATCAGTACATAAGCACAACCTCAATGTGACAGTAAAGTTTTGGGGGTATTACCTACTGATAATTAGAATTTACTTTCGGAAAAGCAATTAGATAGATTCTGCTGTGCAAAACGATGCCTCGAAGAGCTGATAGTGTAAATTCCATTTCTTCGCTTCAAAATCTCGAAGACACACCTTCCTGCTCGTTCTCCTGCTTCTTCCTCATTTAGCTAGTCCTTTGCGCGTCACTTTTTCTGGCACTGAGCTCTTCATTTCCTTATTTGCAGGTAAACACCTCCGTCCTCTCACTGCATGTGTTGCATTTGACGAAGCAGCACCACTGGAACTTACAATTGCACTGCCACACCTTTGTGTACTGGTGTGTATTGTATCCCCGACCGCAGCACATAAGGTCGCAGCCGTCCGTATGTGGTGAGGTGCGGTTGCACAGGCGTCCCTGGGTTCCCACGCTCCCTGTGGCTGCGTCCTCCTCGCAGTAGTTGGGCGACCTCTCAATGTATACGAGGTCTGTCTCCATGGGCTTACGGTAGCCCTGAGTCTGCTTTACCTTGAGGTGGGTGGGCTGGCGCAGTCGGCTGGCCCGGACTACCTCCACGTGCACAGCTTTATTGTACTTGTCCTTGAGTACGTAGCCAATCTCGCGGAATTTCGGAAGAGTAGTCCAACATGTTTTAGTGGTACAGGATCCCGAGACGCCGTGGCACTTGCACTCTAGCTTCATCCTTTCTTCTAAAACCTGGGGAGTGGTAGAGACAACAGGTCAGCTGTAGAGCTCTAGCAGTTATAGGACTTTCAGGTAATAGAACCCCTAGATGAAGATTTCAATTTTCCTTCTCTCTATGGATTTCCAGTGTGCTGGGAAAAAGGTAGAAATGTTTAAAGCGTCTAATTATTATTATTATTATTATTATTATTATTATTATTATTATTGTTGTTGTTATTATTGTTTCTCAACATGAGTGCAAAGCTCAAGACATCTGCATAGTTTGACTAGAGTGGAAGTCCATAAGAAAATCATTGATATCCAATCGACCAATATATAGATCTTTGAACACCTTTTGTTTTGATGTGGATACTTTATTTTAGTCATTAGTTATTATAAGTCTCTTGCTCTCATTTATATTGTGCATGTCATCGCATCTCCCTTCCCTCACCCTCAACCAGTCATGGCAGATGGCTGCCCCTCTTTGTTTCTTCCTGTTAAAAGGGAGTTTTTTCTTCCCACTGTTGCCGAGTGTTTGCTCACAGGGGCTCATCTGATTGTTGGTGTTTTCTCTCCTTTCCTTACAATATAAAGCGTTTTTCTAGCTTTTACAAGAAATATCCTATAGTAGTAATTTTGCCTGTGGTTTCCATAAAACATATCACTGATGCAGAAACAAAAATATCTCATATGTTTTTGATCGCCATTGAAAATTTGAATCCATTGTGCAATTAAATGTGTTACGCATGCAGTGTACAAACAGGCAAACTCAATTAATCGTTTACAGCTGGACAACACACATGGTTTAAGTGGGTTCTTAACCAATATTATGACAAAAAAATAAAGTATTATTCCCATATGGGTAAGATTTTGATGTATTATGTTATATTACAATCATAAGACGGGACTATATGACAGTTTATTTTGTGTAACTCCCTTTCTTAGGTTTGGTCTTAAGATTTGTTGGTTTATCTCCAACATATGGTACACACAGGGCAGAAAGTCTTCTCTTTGCTCCCTAATCCCGCGGCATGTGGTAAATATTGCGTGCTGTTGTCAGTATTCAAGTGTCAATCCTTTGTCCCTTGAGAGTAAGAAAGAACAAAAAACAAAAACAAAAAAAGTCTTTTTTTCCTAAAAGACAAAGGAACAGAGAAATCACGGGGGTGTCGTTTAGTTGAGTCCTATTAACCCGCTGCTAACAAATCTGCCATGACTCTAAAAAGTCTTCATTTGCTTGAGCAAAGCGGGCGTCTCTGTTGTTGCTGGGTGGCTGTGCGGCTCTTTCCTGGAATGACGCCTTGCCAACAGCACAAGTCATCACTTCTATCACACACTTATGAAATGTACACAAGTGATGTTATATAGCTCTCTCTGTCTTGTCTACGCACTCATGTGGTTTGAGGAAATTTGATTTTTTTTTTAAAAAAACTGAGCCTTCCCGACTACATAAAAGCTGGGATCAGATGTCAAGCCTGCCTCCAGTATTAATTCAGAGTGAGGATTTCCAAAAATGCACTGCACAAAAACCACAAGGAATGTCTGGCATAAGGAGTCTGACATATGTATGGAAACATTTACTTAAAGTGTGTCCATCAAAGCCTCTGATCTGTTACTGATTAGTCCAATATGACCAGATACACATCACTGCATACAGATGCACTGAGATGCCCTGAGATGGCTTGTCAAACACACATCTGCATGTAGACTTCTTTTGGTTTGTTTTTCCATTAATAAGAGTAATAGTAACAATCAACAAAGCCCTCTTACACTCGTCATTTAAAAGGCTTCACATCTGAACAAAATCCAGATGTAACTACATAAAATCCAGTTTACATATATAGCGATGCATATGTTTGTGCCTTCATCTGGCAAATTGCAGATGGACTGATCGGATCAGTGTTGGTTTTCCAATAAGACTCCTATCTGTCTTTAACTTTTGGATGTTGTTTTTTTTTTTTTTTAAATATTTAATACCTATGTGATGCAGTTGACACTCTTGGAGTAACTGTGCATGCATCATCAAACAAAGTGAGGTACAATCAGAGAAGGCCCAAATCTCTGTGACCTTATAAGTTCTTAAACTTTTAGCTTTCCTTCAGTATGCACACAAAAAAAAGAATCTGACACTTCCTCATAGCATTTAATTTTTTTGAGCTACAAAGAGCAAAGCGGCAATAGTGCCAGCTCTAATCGAGAGAGCTGCCAGTACCATGGCATGCAGCGTAGACCATATCAGTCTGCTGTGTTAACACTAGCATTGTCGGCCTGCTTTCACACCCTGAATAGATGCAGTCAAATGGCAGTGACATGTTTTGGTATTGTGCAGACAACTGCAATAATATCCTGTTCCTGACTTTACACTTCATAATTCCATGAAAGGAACTGGAAAGGATAAATGGCAGTTCTCCATCTGGCAACCACTTGGGAAGGCTCCATTTTCCCAGTGAACATTATACAGCTGAAGTTATTAATTAGATCCATTTTTCAACTAAGTATTGTCTTTTTTCTTTTTTTCACCTCCCACACTCTCTCTGTCTTTTTTTCCCTGGTCGTTAACGTTCTTCATGACGTTCTGCTATCTGTTCTCTAAGAAATAAACTGCTGATCTGTTGATTGATCGCAGCTTTTTGTCACAAGTCTGCGACTTTGAGCTCTTTATCTGGGAGCGCTCCGCTTGTCTGGGACACATCTCTGCATCTATGGATAAACACATGTTTGCCATTAAATCCATTCATCCAGTTGTTTGTATCTTTGGCTGGCAGTTATGCCATGCTATCAACTGCTATCAAGTGACTTAAAGAATAAATAACAATTGTTCTTTGTAACTACTTCCAGAGTGCTGCTAGCTCTATTTAGTTGCTCCAGACGTCCATTTATTTGTTGCGGTATCATTTATCAGCGTGATCACCAAACGCAAGCTTAATCCAATGAGTAACCTTCTTTGTTTGGAGGTAAAAACAAAAGTTGGGTCATCAAGATAATGCAAAAATTCACTTCACAGTAAGTATGCTCTGTTGAGGATAGACATTTATTGTGCACAGTTTAAATAATACTTAAGTAATTAATTTAAGTAAGATTTGTTTAAGCATTTTCTGGGGTTTTTGTGACTTCGAGGCTAAAAGAAAAGTATATGACATCTTTCTTTACCTTTCTGCCTGCCTCATTGTTGTGCAAGTTCATCAGACGACGTGGGGTCTTTCTAATCTCGCGGGCATCCACGAAGCGGCGAGAGAACTCTATGCCGTACTTGATGTCTGCCGAGCATCCTCCCCATTTCCAGCCTTCCTCCTGATTATAATAACCCTGCTTCTCCCTGTCACATCCACACTGACTGAGGTTGCCTTGGCTGCATGCTGCGGTGATAGCATGGGCCACCCCAGCCGCTGTGATGGCATAGGTAAAAGCTGCTTCCCGGCTGCCTGAAAAAGAAAAACAGATACCGCTTGATAAATGCTCCACTCACAGCATTTTACAGCGCAAAGAATTTGATTTTTGACAACACCACAGATATTCAGAATCTTTCCCATCATTCGATAAGCCACCATTTTGCTTTCCTCTCATGAACAGCTTGCCTTCTGTACCTTGGTAGAAATGTGGTCATACTTCCCACCACAAATTCCTTGGACCTAGCCTGCAAGAGTGCAGTGTTGGAATTCCAGTGTGGGGAGAGCTGGGGTAGGTGCTGTCCAAAGTGCTGAATTCCTCCACAGGAGCACCTTGTACTGCTGCCCACACTGCACACAGTTGGGGTCTGCAGGTCTCGCTGACTCTGATACTGATCACTGACAAGAAAGGAAGCCCTGTGGTGCCTAGATCAGGTAATACCAGGACCTCAGAAGATAAGAGCAGCTGCTAAACCTAACAAGATTAATTCTACCTATGTTTCATAGTCTGACTTCAGGCTTTAAAGACAGTGCATGCTTACTGGCCATGAAAGCATTCAAACTGAAGGTTTAGATTAGTTGTTATTGGCTTTAAAAAAGTTCTACTTGGGCTTATGTCACTAGATAAAATACTATGTGCACTGTCATCACTTAAAAACCAAAAAATAGATTCAATGTCTTGGGAAAAAAATTGAGAATGCCAATGCCCGAGGTATAGACTTCTTGTTGTGTCAATAAGAGAAAAAAATTATATATATATACAATAAACAACATGTAAAGGACCTGGGTACACTTTAGCTAAAAGGACGGTGACAATAACCATACCATACAATTCCACTCACTTCCTGCATATCTGAAATAACTGTACTATTCCCCTAATGGCTACAAAGGGATCTGACTTAAAAGACATCGTCTCTGGGTATAGGAAGGACTGGGGGTTATTACAACCCTGGTCTCCCTCCAAGTGGCAGTAATCTAGAAGGAGGCAATCCTCAGAAACAAGGCTAACCAAAGAGTGTTTTAAGGGGCCTTTCAGCCTGTGGAGAAGAATGTTTTGTAAGTCTTTGATGTGTGTTGTGTAATGTACTCAGTCGCAATTATTGGAATCACTCTAGGTAAAATGTGTTCTGTTGTTCTGCACTTCAGAGGGCCAAAAGCTCCATGCCAGTTTATCATTTTCTTTTTTCAGCGGTTCTCAGAGGTTCATCGTGTTCGGTAGTTTGCAAACGTCACAGTACATGACCTATCAAAAAGAATCATCCAGTTTCAACAGGCTAGTGAACATAAAAGCTTGATGTAAATTTTCAAATGAGTGGCCGAATATAAAGTTGTACATACAGAACTTGTCACAAGTGTTCAATATACCGCCTCCAAGCTAACGGATATGATAGTCAAACTTATCCTATACTTTTGCAAGCATGTCGCTGCAACCACTGTTTTTCTTATGCTTCTTGCAGGCAACCACATGAACTCAAGAATCCCCTCTTTACTGTATTTCTGCTGGATGTCAAAACACACTGCAGAAAATATGAGTTCAAAGGGCCAAAATAACTGATCATATCATCTGTAGAAACCTATTTATTTATGAGTAAATTCTGGTAGCATCCTTGCAGGCTTCGGATAGAATTCTATTTTTTTATGTATTATTTTTTATACATTGTAGACAGTTTCAGTGTATTTGACTATATGTTCTAAACACTGATTAGCCTTTAAATACAAAAATACAACAAATGAAGTGAAAATTATAAGGAAACAAGACAAAAACGACTTTATGGACACCAAGCAAACACTCGATAGCTTGTGTTATCCGCTAAAGCTTATGTGTACAAATTTTTATTCAACTTTTTTTTCATTTCAAAAGCAATGTGCTTTATGTACTCCTAAATATACTGCTAATATGCAGCCATTTGCAGCTGTTTTCCATTTCATTTCCTCTTCTTTTTTTAGAGGGACTTTTTACACCTCCTATTCTGGTCTCGGGGGCATTTTTGAACTCTCAGAGATGTTTTCACCCAAAGCCACTGTTAATTTCCTACCCTGGCACTGGTGCTGTAGACTTAATATCATAGCCACAGGTTTGCCTGGTGGGCACTGACTCACAACCACTTGCTTCTTTGGTTAGCAGCAGAGCTGTGCCCCACCAGCTTGTGGTGACATTCTGCTGCCCCCACCTCATACACAAATGCAGTCACACAGCTGCAATGTAGATCTGTTCACATGCACACACACACACATGCAAACGCTCCCTGACCGGCCACATAATAAAATAATACGACACACTTCCACTTCCCTCCACCCTTGCGCGCATACACTGTTAAAAGCTCGTTTACACATAGATGCACAAACAGAGCATCGCTGTAATGTTTAAAACAGGATAAAGGCAGTTTCCAGAGAAAGGGTGGTACTCAATGAGTTATGCTATTAGTGGGGCAATGATGACAATCAGAATAGAGAATGCTTTCATTCTGTTTCCCTGAAAGTGACTGACTCATAAATCAAAGATGGAAAGGTTACGAACAAAATAAGTGGAGTGAAGCCAGTTCAGACAGGCAACTCCAGCCACACTGTGTTTTGCACGCTAACATGCTTCAGTTTCCACATGTCATATCCCAAACACCCCTCCTCTCAGTTTGGTGGTCTACTTGCAGAATTTCCCATCTCTCCCTCCGACATGTCAGTGCACTACCCTGATATGTCAACCCCTTTCACCAACCCAACCTGTAGGCTCTGTGTGGATGTTTACTCATCACTCCCAATTTCTGTATCATATTTAGAGTGGGCGATGAGTCAGAGTCTAGACACCAAAGATTATATTCTGCTGTTGAACTGCCTAGCTCAGTTACATTAATATAGCAATGCAAAGGTGTAGCATGTGCATCCTGCATGTGCAACATCTTTTTTTTAAAACGCCTGTGTTCTGGAGAAAGAAAGAGGCCCCCGAACAGATGTGCATCTGATGAAATTTTGAAGGAGAAAATGCACCCATAACAGCAGCAAAAAGCCCCAAAAGAGGCTGGCCCCAGAGTCCTGACACAACTCCAGGAGGAACCACCCTGGGATAGCCTTGCTAGCTGCCAGTGGAAAATTGGAGTGACCAGAAAAACCTCAATGAACTTGGAAACATCCAGGAGAGAAGAATGGGGGAATATTAAACCAGATGTCTAATGGAGTTTAGTGGCAAGTGTCTGCTGTAGCAGCCAAGAAAGCAGGCAAGAAGATCAGGCTTGTTTCACTGAGAACAGGTAAGGGAGCTCATATGCAGACATTTGTTTTGTTTTCTTTTGTTACGGCCCTGCGTTGGGGGCTAAAACCAGAAATACTGACGCAGTATGCTTTGGCCTTCACATTACCTGACCACACCACTTTGGACAGCGGCTCCCGCTGCGATGGCCCGCCGTGTCTTTTGACCATCTGCCGAAACTAGGACATAAAAAGAAGTCTCTGGATGTAGTGGCTTGCCGCTAAAACTGCAATCTGTGTTTAGAGACGGAGGCAGGAACACCGCTAGCCAGAATTCACATGACACAGCATAGAAGATTTACAACCGGGGATACTATACAGGCAGCACTTGTGTACTATAGACAAGCTGATGTAGTAACATTGCCGCTGACCTCAACGGGCCTTGCTTTCTTCTCTGTTCACAGGCCATAGTAAAGATATGTTGTTGACAGGAGAGGAAAGGGAAAAGATATACTGAAGGGACTTGGATACAGAATTGGCTGTAGAGCGCCCTTTTCTCTCCAAAAACCAGGCCAAGGTCAGTCATGTTGTGTGTCTGCCCCATCATGGGACAAATGGTTAAAATATACAAAAAAAAAAGGTCAAGTGAGGGCAGAAATGGCCTGACAACCTTGACTTGCTAAAGGTTATCGCATTCATCTGTTATTATTATGACTGACCTGATGTTTTACAAAGCAGCTAGTGGAGATGCTGAGCTAATTTCCTTTACTAATCCTGCCAGCCAGAAACAAATTCCTTCTGTCCTCGTCAGCACGCTTCCCCATAAAACATGTCTGGGATTCTGAGAATTCCGATTGCACAATGTGATACATACGGACGGTGTACAGCCTAAGAAAGATGTAGCGAAACATGCAGACATCAAGCTTTACAGAAGATCACAGCAAAGGTATGATTCGGTTACGGTAAAGGTGAGGTGAGCCAGAGGATGGGTAAAGACATTCAGTAGACTAAAAGGACTGGAGAGAAGTAGTTTAGGCTGGATTCCTGGTAGGGAAGGGGTGGGGAGGGGGTGCCAAACAACAGCAAAACACACACACATACATACACGGAAGTACACACAGAAACCGGCAGGTTTCCAGCAGAGTGGCTGAATTGCCTCTCCACACAGGCCAAGCCTGCTGTTGCTGGAGCAGTGAAGGGGAAAGCCTTTTAAAGACCCCTCATCCCAGACATGCACTCACTCCCACAGGGGACACAAGGGAGTGGGGTGGGATTGGGGGTGGGGGGTGGAGAGTAGATTGCATAAAAAATAAAATCTCCACAACACAGCGACGCACTCGAAGTTCAAGTTTCACATCACATTCACACATTACCTGTAAGAACATCTTGTCACACACAAATGGCCCACAGTGAACAAAGGGAAAAGTGTCACCTGCTGGTGGCCAAGAGTCTTTACACATATTGTGGGATTTTCACAAGATACAAAATAATAATAACAATAATGATAATAATAATGATAAAAAACACGATGCCAAACCTTTTTTAAAGCAGATATGGAAGTTGCAGAGTGCTGTTTCTCAAGTAACATTTAGATCATTTGGTTTTTTTCTCTTACTTTTCCCCCGTCTTGCAGCAAAACTATAGAAATTGAATCAAAACACTAAAACCCAGAAATAAAAGCTCCAGGTCATCATTTTCAAAAGCAAAAACAAAGCATCGTGCAACACACTCTGCAGCTCCGGTGAATCAAATGGAAACATGATACCGCTTTTAAAACATTGTGAGCACATGCAAGTTCATGGATACTACATAACAAAGTTATTTTACGTCACTGTGCACATATAATAAAGTTATGA